CCGGTCCCATCATTGCTATCTCCGCCACAACTTGAGCTTAAGCCGCTCCCGGCCCATCTCAAGTATGTGTTCCTTGGTCCAAAGCAAACCCTTCCGGTCATCATTGCCTCGGACCTTCAAAAAGACTAAGAGACCAACCTTTTAGCGGTGCTCCAAGAGCATAAAAAAGCTATTGGTTGGACAGTGGCAGATTTGAAAGGAATTGACCCCTCCATTTGTATGCACCGCATTCATATGGAGGATAACGCAAAGCCTACTAGAGAGGTCCGGCGCCGGTTAAATCCAAATATGAAGGAAGTGGTCATGAAAGAGGTGATCAAATTGCTAGATGCGGGAATCATCTACCCTATCTCTGATAGCAAGTGGGTGAGCCCCACACAAGTTGTGCCCAAGAAATCCGGTCTCACCGTTGTTGAAAATTCAGCGGGTGAGCTCGTGCCACAACGGACTACCACCGGGTGGCGTGTGTGCATTGATTACCGGAAACTTAATTCGTCAACTAGGAAGGATCATTTTCCACTTCCATTCATAGATCAAATCCTAGAAAGGTTAGCCGGCTAAAGCTTCTATTGTTTTCTTGATGGTTATTCCGGCTATAACCAAGTGGCAATCGCCCCCCAAGATCAAGAGAAAACAATATTCACATGTCCCTTTGGTACTTTTGCCTATCGACGCATACCTTTTGGTCTATGCAATGCGCCGGCAACGTTCCAAAGGTGCATGATGTCCATATTCTCCGAAATGGTTGAAAAGTTCTTGGAAGTTTTCATGGACGATTTTTCCGTATTTGGCTCCTCCTTTGACTCGTGTCTAAAAAATTTATCTCTTGTGCTCCAAAGATGCAAAGAGACGAATCTCATTCTAAGTTGGGAGAAAAGCCACTTCATGGTCCAAGAAGGCATTGTTTTAGGACATGTCATTTCTAAGTGGGGAATCGAGGTAGACAAGGCAAAAGTTGAGTTAATCTCTAATCTTCCTCCTCCGAATTCCATCCATCAAATCCGTTCTTTTCTTGGCCATGCCGGATTCTATCGTCGCTTCATCAAAGATTTTAGCAAAATTTCATGGCCCTTGTGTAATCTCTTAGCCAAGGATGTTCCGTTCAATTTTGATGACGCTTGCATGGAAGCTTTCATCAAACTTCGCACTCTCCTCTCATCCGCCCCAATCATGAAACCCCCTAATTGGTCTCTTCCTTTTGAGATCATGTGTGATGCATCTGACTATGCATTAGGGGCGGTTTTGGGCCAACGTGTGGATAAACTTCCGCATGTCATTTATTATGCTAGCAAAATTCTCTACGATGCCCAATTGAACTACACCACCACTGAAAAAGAATTGCTAGCTGTGGTGTACGCCTTGGATAAATTTCGCTTTTATCTTCTTGGCTCCAAGGTCATCGTCTTTTCGGATCATGCCGCTCTTAGGCATTTGTTAGCGAAAAAAGAGACAAAACCCCGTTTAATTCGATGGATCCTCCTACTTCAAGAGTTTGACATTGAAATCCGGGACAAAAAAGGGACCGACAATGTTGTCGCCGATCATCTCTCTCGCTTATTTATTGAGAAATCTTCAGAATTAGCAGCCATCCGTGATTCCTTTCCGGATGAGCAATTTCTTCAAGTTTCACATTCTACTCTTCCATGGTTTGTGGATATTGTCAATTATCTTTCGGTTGGCAAAATTCCAGCTCATTGGTCCAAACAAGAAAGGGACCGGTTTTTCTCCCAAGTCAAGCATTTCTTTTGGGAAGATCTAGAACTATTCAAGTATTGCCCGGACCAAATCATCCGGCGATGCATTCCGGAAACCGAGGCCATAAGCATTCTAAATTTTTGCCATACTCTTGCTTGTGGAGGCCATTTCAGTGCCAAAAAGAACGCTAACAAAGTTCTTCAAAGCGGATTCTTTTGGCCTACCTTGTTTCGGGATGCATACAATTTTTGCAAATCGTGTGAACTATGTCAAAAACTTGGATCCATGTCCCGAAGAGACATGATGCCCCTCACCAACATTTTAATTGTTGAAAATTTTGATGTGTGGGGGATTGACTTCATGGGACCATTTCCATCTTCTTATGGCTATGAGTACATCCTTGTAGCGGTGGATTATGTGTCTAAATGGGTTGAAACCGAGGCTACCAAAACCGATGATCATAAAGTCGTGATCCAATTCATTCAGTCTCATATGTTTAGTCGTTTTGGTACGCCCCGAGCAATCATTAGCGATGGCGGATCTCATTTCCGAAATCGTTATCTCAAATCCGTCCTTACCAAGTATTCCGTCATTCATAAGGTTGCTACACCTTACCACCCTTAAATGAGTGGTCAAGTAGAGATTTCTAACCGGGAGATTAAGCACATTTTAGAAAAAACGGTTAGACCGGACCACAAAGATTGGTCATTAAGGCTAAACGATTCGCTTTGGGCTTACCGGACAGCTTATAAGACACCCATTGGCATGTCACCATATCGACTTGTCTTTGGCAAAGCATGTCATCTCCTGGTAGAATTACAGCACCGTGTTTATTGGGCCATAAAAATGTTCAATTTTGATCTCAAGCAAGCCGGCTCTAATCGTGCATTGCAATTAAATGAACTTAAGGAATTGCGTAATGACGCATACGAAAGTGCAAAAATCTACAAGGCAAAGACTAAAGCTTTTCATAACAGACACATCGTCAAGAAGTCTTTTGCCCCGGGACAAAAGGTTTGGCTTTTCAATTTCCGCTTGAAACTCTTTCCCGGTAAACTCCGGTCAAGATGGGATGGTTCATACATTGTCACTACCGTCTTTCCTCATGGAGCAATCGAACTTCATGATCCTGCAAGTGGATCACTCTTCAAGGTAAATGGCCAACGGCTTAAGCCTTGCATGGCACAATCCTAACCCGAAAAGTTGAGGAAGTCCTCTTGACGGATCCAATTTTTGAGGATTAGTGCCTGCTTTAGCTTTGTCTAGCTATCGACATTAAATTTAGCAACTCAAGGGAAGCAATTCTTTCAATTTCCAAGCTTCCTTCTCTTTGAAATTGCTCGTGCCTTGCAAATTTTCTGGGAAATGGTTTCGAAAAGCCAAAAGTTTGATTTTTCTGAAATGGTCTGTGTTTCGCAATTTTAGACTGGCCTCTTAGACCTTCTTAGCTCTAATTTTCATTCCCGGAAATTTCCATCACTTTCGAGCAATTTCATAGGATCTTTCGACATGGCACTCACATGCATAGCCTCTCATCTTCAATGCATTGTTGAAATGTTCTTAATCTCATCCATGCATTGAAGAGATGTTCCAAAGCTTGAAAATTTTCTCAAAATTTCCTATGCATTGGATTGGAATGAATTTGCAAAGTTTAAAATTTTTCTCTAGAAATTTCATTCATCCATGCTCTGTGTGATGTTGTAAAAGTTGGAAATTTTTCCATGCAATTTACATTCATGCATGCATCGTTAAAGAAAAAAAAATTTCCATGAGAAATTTCCATGAAAAATTTTCATTTTCCATGGCAAATTTCAATTTTCCATCCTTGCATTCGAATGAAATGATGGCGCACAGTTTAAAATTTTGTTGCAATGTATGGTTAATGGAAACATCATGGCCGCAAAATTTTAACCTCCAACGTTTTCATGCATGCATGCATGCATTCAACTTCCATCAAGGTCCATGAGTTCATGCATTCTTTGATGAGTTCATACATGCATGCCTTCAATCCATGCAATTACCATCCATCCTTGCAAGCTTCAATCCATGGATGGATGGTTCCATGCACTCATCTTCCATCCCTACAAGCTCATCGATGGTTCCATGGTTTCAAGATCAAGCTCAAGCATAACCTCTTTTAAACCACAACATTCTGAGCCTACTGACCCACTTTCGAGCACTCAAACTCCAATTTGGAGTGCTCAAGCTTCCTTGCATTTTTCCTTGAACTCTCTGGCTTCATTTCGAGCAATCTAAGCTCCAATTTGGAGTGCTTGACCTTGCTTGAAGTTTTAACCCAAAGCTGCTGAGGCTACTGTCCCATCTTCGAGCACTCTACTTCCATGCTTAGAGTGCTCGACCACATCTCTCATCCCACCATGCAACCCCACACCCTGCATGCACCTTCAACCACCTCCTAACCTCTCTCTCTCGGCAACTTCAACACCATCCCATCTCTCTGCAACCCACTTCTCAACTCACCCATGCTTGCACCACCTCGCACACACAGAACCTTGCACCCATGCATGCATCAACTCAAACCTTAACTCCTATCTCTCTCCTTAACCCAACACACCCAACCAACCTTCCAACCTTCTCTCTTTCTTAGCCTCTACAAACCAAATATCCCTCCACTCTTGGCCATCACAACCCACAACCCATCCCCAAGACATGCATGCATGCATGCAAGACATGAATGCATGCAACTTCAGCATCAAACCAAACCATGAAACCACCACCTCACCTCTCAGCCACCATGCAGACTTGCATGCATGCATGCAAGCCCCATGCATGCATGCACCTCTATCTTCACTCATCTCCCACCATCCAACACCATCTCTCTGCAACCCTTAACCAAACACCAAACCAAACCCTCTCTGCCAAATTCTAGAGCACTCGAAGCCAAGCTTCGAGTGCTCGCCATTGCCCAATCTCTCTCACCCAAGCCAACCGAGCCCACTGCCCCATTCTAGAGCACTCGAAGTCCACCTTCGAGTGCTCGAACCAAGCTTACCCCCCCTCCTCTTTTAACAACCAACTCCCCCCAACCACAACCAACCTCTCGGCACCAAACCTTCCCTTATCTCACACAAATCACCCCCATCACTTTACCTCTCGGCTTCCCAACTTCCCACCACCCTTCACACTCAACCAACTCCAAACCATCATCCTCACCATCCCAACCTCACCCCCTCATGCACACCATCACCTCTCTCATACACCAATCAACCCTCACCCCCAACCCAACCACCTCTCGGCCTTCCTCTTCCATCACCATGCAACCAACTTTCTTTCTCTACCCAAACCAATCAACCTCACCATCCTCTTCACCTCTAGGCAAATTCCACCCATCCCCACCACTTAATCCGGCGGCCATAGGGCCTGTGGATCTCCATTGTTAGGTGAGTTTCTTCATTCTCTTCCTCTTTCACATTTTTGGTATAAATGGAGGATGGGCTTACATGTAATGGAGATTTGTGATTGTTTGGGAGTAGTTATTGCAATTGCAGGGCCAAAATTTTTTAGGTTTCATCATCCATCCCACTCATTTTCACCTTCTCCTTTTTGTGGTGCACGCCAGGTGTTCGCTGAAAGTCTTTAACCAAGTCCACCTCTCTAAATGTCTCGTGCCGGTCCTTCTCGCCCTCCTAGACCCTCTGTGGGTGCCCGTGCTGTCAATCGTGAGCAACCACGTGATCCTAGGGATCGCAAACAACTCAACTACGAGCTTTCTTTTCCGCTCACGGATGCCTTTGACATTCTACCCACAACTTCGTGGGCTGTAGCCGAATTGACTAACCGGCGTCTACAGCACATTTGCGCGCCCCTTGCCAGGGTTGCCTACCCCCGTGTAGTGCGCCTCTTCTACCAGAATCTCTAATGCCCTGAAGAGCCACCCATTTCTCTCACTACATCCATTGATGGCACCACCTATGCTTTCACTATGACTGACATCATTCAGGTTTCTGGTTGCCCCATTGAGTGCCCCGATGACATTGTCAATCATGAGAATCTCCCTTTATATGAGGAGCCGGATACATTAACTGTGGAGCAGATTGTCGCTGCCATTTGCAATGTTGACGATCCTAATAGGCCCCGGTCTTTTATCCGCAAAACCAATCTTCCGAAACGCCTCTGGTTCATTGACACTATTTTCAAGCACAATGTCTGCCCTTTGGTGCATAGCACCGAGCGTAAGGGCCTCCTTTTGCAAGCCTTATATGCCATGGACCAAGGCCAATGGTTCTCCATCCCGGAGCTCATTTGGACCACATTTATGAAGTTTTGGCATGACGCTCATAATGCACGGGTTCCGTGAGTTGAAAATCGGAAATTGCCTTTGCCATTTTTCATCACTTGGCTCCTTCAGCACAAGGGTTTCGTTGTTCCTCCCCATGAACCAAAAGGCGAAAAGATTAAAATTTTTACCAAGCGCCGGTGGATCAATGTTCTTAGCCATTCTCGTACCCCTCAGCCTGCTGCCCCCCTGTTCATCCAAGCTCCACCTCCTCCTCCTTCTGAGGATGCTTCCACTGTAGCAGCCACTGCAAGGGTAGAGCCTCCGGTCGACTCTCAGCAGGACCAGGCTTTCATCCGGGCTAGCATTACCGGTATTCATGAGCGGATGGATCGTTTTGAGAATACTTTGTCCGCGTGCACTCGGACTATGTGTGAGACTTCTTCACGTGCCGAAGAAGATCTTCGTCTTGCTATTGAAGACCGCCGTGTCGCAGCTGAGGAACGTCGTTTGGCTTCCGCCGAACGGCGTAAGACTCAATCTCTCCTCCATTCCATCCTCGCCTGTTTACCCTCTGGCCCGTAGCTTGTTGCGAGTGTTGGACCTTATCTTTTTGTTTCATATGTACATATTTCTCTGGTATCTTTTGTTTTCCTTTTGAACTTTCAGAATTTGCTATGTATAGGTTGCTCTAGTAGACATGATCTATGTACAGCTCTTTTGTAATCATGTAAAAACTCTTTTTGAAATGCAAATTCTCTCTTTTCGGTTAACTTTATGTACATTATTTTTCTGTACTTATGCTTGTGCTATTAATGCTTTTTGTGGTTGTTTCTTTTTGTTCTTCGTGATGCTCTCCAGGTTGCGCAGTCCAATTCAAGTTTGGGGGTTTTGTTTCACCATGCCGTTTCCTCCCCCTGGGTATTTTTGTTCCTTTTTTTTTACTCTTTGTCATTTTTGTCTCTAACTTACATCCATGTCCCACGTTGAGGACACTGTGTCCTTCAAGTTTGGGGGTGCATCAAAGCATTCTTGGCATAGTTTTGGTATCATATTTTTGTAAAGCAATGATAGTGTAACTTGGAACTTGTCGGAGACAAAGCATATGTTTAATACCTTATGTATAGAAGCAATTGAGAAATTTTTGAAAATAAAGAAATTTGAATTTGAAGTGATCATGCAAATACAATGTAGTCTGTATAAATGCCTCAATTAGATTCTTGCTGATTTACACTCTTATAAGCTTCACAATGCACAGATGCACATTGGAAACTTAACTGTGAGGCATGTAACTTGATCAATCTTGACCTTGGCCTAGTTAATCTGATTTGATGAACCTGATAGATGAATATCTTTGGCATGATTTAAGTTGGACCTAAAAAAAAAAAAAAAAAAAAAAAAAAAAAAAAAAAAACTGAGAAAGAAAGAAAAAAATGACCAGTTGACGTTCGTAGCCTTTCCAACTCGAGCTATTAAGCCCTAGGAGTGTCTCTACACTTAGCACCCTAAAGCCGTCTGGTTTGGGAGTTATTGGCCTAACGCTTGCTACAAGGGTTGGTTAGAAAGCTTAAAGGACTTAAACATTGCACGGTCATTCAAAAAAAAAATTGTAATAAACATGGTTCGCTAGAGTTCGCAGCCTTTCCAACTTGAGCTATTAAGCCCTTTGGAGTGTCTCTACACCTAGCACCCTAAAGCCATCTGGTTTGGGAGTTGTTGACCTAACACTTGCTACATAGGTTGGTTAGAAAGCTTAAGGGACTTTTGCATTGCACAACCATTCTATGTTTCGCTAATGAGTTACAATAAATTGTCAACAGGCAACAAAGTTGTCTTGAAAATAAAATCAATGCCTTAGGGACTTCATGTAAAGGGGAATTCATTGATTTGAAAACTTGTGCCTTGGAATTGGAAAAGAAAGTAAAAGCCACATGTTGAGAATTCAATTCACTTTCACTGGAGTTTGAGTTATTTCCATTTAAGAGATGACAATTGAATTATTTATATGGACTATGATGTTGATGCATGCATGTTGAAATGGTTTTTCCCAATTTTTGTATCAATGCTTCATATATGCAAAATAGTCTTCCCAATGATCCCGTCTCCAGCTCTTTATCTGTTTCAAGTTGTATTTGAGCTATGTTAATGTTTATTTTTGCCATGGTGGATATTTTTGTAATAGCATTCCCATGTTTTTTATTCCATTGAGCTTTGCATTTTGGTTTTGCTAAGGGACTAGCAAAATGTAAGTTTGGGGGTGTGATAAGCGCAGTAGAACCTGACTTTTGTCAACATTTTCAACCTAGAAAACTCAAGAACTGGACTTCTATCTTAACATGAAAGATTTAGAGCTCTGAATCAACTTTCCAAATCTTCAAGCGGTTCGTCATTCGGAGTTTGGAGCAGAGAGTTATGATCTTCTTAACAGAGGTGCGCAGAACTGCCTGGCAGCACTGAAGTACTGCCTTTCTCCCCATTTTCGACCAACCAGACTTGAGAATCGGGTCTTCATCAAAACATGAAGTTTTTAAAGCACTGAATCACCTCTCCAAATCTTTAAACAGATCGTCATTCAGAGTTTAGGGCACAAAGTTATAGCCGTTTTACCAAAGTAGGTCAGTGTTGAGCAAGAAGAGCATGTTGCACATTACACTAATTTAGAGTGCTCGAGACCACCCTTCGAGTGCTCGAAATTCTGGCAGATTGCACTCGGAAATGGCTCAATTTCAGCCGCTTGCACATTGGTTTCCTCAAAGCCATCTTCCTTCTTTATGAAGTGGTTGGAGGTGTTCCTTGGAGGAGAGAGAGCCTTGACTTGAGCTCGATAAGAGAGAGGGAGGCCACACATTTTATATTATCCTATATTCTAGCAAGATAGAGGAGAGAGAAGAGAGCAAGAAAGGTGTGTTCTTGGAGCTAGAAGAGGGGAGCTCGAAAATGGAGGTCAAGGCTTTGTTTCCTCCTTCCTCTAGTGCATCAATGGGTAACTAAACCTTCATCTAGGGAGGTGATGAAGCCTCCTTTGTAAGCATGCTATAATCTTGTTTTAATTTGGGGAATGAAGTGTATTTGTGATCTTTTCATATTCTAGAGACTTACACATGTTGTAAATGTTCTTCAATTCAATAAATGATTGTGTTAAATGTATCATCTTGTCTTAGATTGTATGTTTTCATGATTATAGGGCTTATATCTTCATAGTGAGAATGGAGATGAGAATATGAAATGGTTTTCTTGGCATGTCTTGTGAAGGTTTTGATAGTCCATTCCTAGGAACGATGAACCATACTACACCCCTAGTTTAATGTAGTTAGGTAGATGGTTCATACCAACCGTGGATGGATTATACTTAGTCTTTGATTACATGTGCATTTACCATACAAAGTAAGGGATTTGATAGGCCATTCCTAGGGGATTATACTTAGATGGTTTATACTTAGCTCTGATTGTATGAACTTCTTGAAGATAGTGTAGTTATCATGCATCTCTATATATCATGGTCATTTATATAAGTAGTTCCCCAAGTTAATTGCAAGCTAGCATGTTTATGAGGTGTGTGGTGGATTCATTTCCCTAGTCCTCTCCACCTAAGTTTCACTCCTTTTAATCTCCTTCAATTTATCGTTTTATGCATTCTGAATTCGTAGTTTCAGTGACAAACAAACAAAACCTCTATGAACACCCCTTCATCATCCTAAGAATGACTCTAGACACTTAGGTTGCCTTAGACTAGCGCAGTCCCAGTGGTTCGACTTACCCGACCAATAGCCCTATTTTACAATGATTCGTGCTATTGCGAAGGTTGATGTTTAGTTGATCAACCGATCAGTGACATATGTTGCCATAACAAATACATCTAATATAATTCAAGCTTAAATTAGATATGCAAACAATTGGTGGTAAACATAATTTGACCTTTATATCACAACTTGTTTATAACATATGCCAACACTTTCATAAATAGACAATCACATCTTTCAGCTAACACATTCACATAAAATTTACTTCTACATTACTATAATGGTTTACCATTCATGCAACTATTTTCTAACAAGTGCTATATGTTAACAGATCAAATTCATATAACAAACTTCAACTGTACATTAGATGTCAAAACAATTAGTGTAAAACATAATTTG